CCTTCTCCTGCCTGATTTCCAGCCTTTGCTGGAAAAAGAAGAGGTGCCTTTCACTTAATGATTAACAAACTCATTTCTGGTAATACCCTACACATCCCAGTGATTCAGAACCCCTGTAGTTCATCACACAAACCCCATTCCCATCCCCCACTACCTGATTCCTTATTCCCATCCCCCTCAACCCACCTACCCCAAAATCCCAACTTAACATTATCCACCACTTTCACTGTGTCCTCTGGAATGCCTGTTCCATAGGCAACAAACTTGCTTTCATCACAATCTTTTCCTTTCCCACTCCTTCCATCTTCTAGCTATCACTAAATCGGGGCTCCCCCCTGATGTCACACCCTAGTTAGGGATCTACCAGTCATCTCCATATTGCTATGTTTGACTTTTGGTCACTGTCCACATCTTGAAGCTCTCCTCCCTTGGCTTCCACTACTACATTATCCTACTTTACTTCCTACTTCTTCAAGCACTCCTTTATCACCTTCTTGGATTCCTTTTATTCCTTCTGCCCCTTAACTGTGGACATCAAGACTCAATTCATGGAATTTGCATTTCTTCCTCTGTATTCTCACCTCCATAAGCTTATCCACTGTCATGGCTTTTGCTATAACAGTGCTGATGATATCCAAATATTTATCTAAATCCAGACTTTGAATCCCGTATACCCAACTGCTTCTACCACATTTCCACTTGGATGTCTCAGTGTCGCTTCAAATAAAACTTGGGTGGAACAAAACTCATCATCATCTTTTCCTATAATGCCAACCTCACTCCTGTTTCCTACCCTCTACAGTTTCCCCATTTCTGTCAGGTTTCCTAGGCTTAATACCTCATTTGTCTTGGGCAGCAGGGAGAGATAGGAGATAAGAGTTCTATACTTGGAAGCAGTTTGAATACTGCCTGAGACACTAGCTGTGTGACCCTGTGCAATTCACTTAACTTCTATTTTTAAACTTCTCTTTAATAGGGATGATAGTAGCACCTACTTCACAGGGTTGTTGTGAGGGTCAAAGGAGATAATATGTGCAAAGTGCTTTGCAAACCTTAAAGTTCTAGATAAATGTTAACCATTATTATGATTATCTTCATTTTCTCCTTCTGACTTTATCTTCTTTACCTAATATATCATCAAGTATTGTTTATTCTTTGAAGTATCTGTCACTTATTCCTTCCTTTCTACTTCTATTAATGACATCCTGACCTAGGCCTTTATCATTTCATGTATCTGGGACGATAAACTAGCTTCTTAACTGGTACCCTTTAAATAATCAGATGGACCTGTGATCTAACTGAAGTGATAGAAAATGGGGTAGAAGATACTAAAAAAAATACTGAGTTCTAAAGCCATCTACAAATATTATTTTAACTGTCAGCATTCACTGTCCAATTGTTGTCCTATAACCAACAAATTGATACAGTAATGGATGAACCAGATAGCATCCAATTGATGTTCATAATCCCTTCACCAGTACAGATCACAGCCCCTCCACAACTTATCAGCCCATATGATTTTAGTTCGTGTCTTTCCATAAATCACCACAGTGTACTGTAAACCCTCCTCTTGATTCTTTTGCTATCTTGAGTACCATTGTAAAATTTGGATCATCTATCTATTGTCTCACATCCTCAATACATTACTTACTTATCTTCTTTTCCAGTGTACATATTTTAATGATTTTTTAAACTACTTGTACATAAGTCACCATTGATAATATAGTATAGATATCCTTTCACTTATCTGCAACAGCATTATGTCATTTGGTTTCATTTATGGTAGAAATATCAATATAGATACTATTCGCCTCCTTCAATAATATATTGATTTGTTAGTCAGTGGACAAAAAATACATGTCGAGTTGTTCAGTCGTTTTCAGTTGTGTCCAACTCTTCATGACCCCGTTTGGGGTTTTCTTGGCAAAGATACTGGAATAGTTTGCCGTTTCCTTCTCCAACTCATTTTACAGATAAGGAAACTGAGGCAAACAGGGTTAAATGACTTGCCTAGGGTCACATAGTAAGTGTCTGAAGCCAGATTTTAACTCAGGAAGATGAATCTTCCTGACTTTAGGCCTGGCACTCTATCCACTGCACCACCTAGCCGCCCACACATTGAGTACCAACAGTACATTAATATTTATTAGCAGCCTAAGAACTGTGTGTTTCTGGTAACCTTTTGGCCCATTTTCAATCATCCCACCACCATCAATGCATAAGTTAAAGGGATTATATAAACCTGGGACCTATTTTGTATTTGGTATCCTTATTAATATTGAAGGTACCACCATCCTTCTAGTCACTCAGGTTCACAACTTTGCTGTCCTCACATATCCAATCAGATGCCCAGTTGTGTCATTTCTGTGTCCAGCAATATCGCTCACATATGTCTCATTTTCTCTGCTTACAAGGCCACCACCCTAGTTTAGGCCTTCATCATCTCACCTGAACTATTACAGTAACCTTCTCTGTGGTCTCCCCACCTCAGGCTGCTGCCTACTCCAATCCATCCTCCACACAGTTGCCAAGGTGATTTTCCTAAAACACAAATCTGAATACATCACCATCTTTTCTTCTTCCCTGCCCCCGTTAAGTTCCAATAGCTGTCTATTACCACTAGGTTCACACGTAAACTTCTCTGTTTGGCTTTAAATCTCTTCATAATCTGACTCCTTCCTTCCTTTCCAGTCTTCTTACACATGATTCCCTCCCTTCACTCTGCAATCTATCCATACTGACATCCTAGCTGTTTTGCACACATGCTGCTTCATCTCCCATCTCTAAGTCTTTGCATTGGTTGGTACCCCTGACTTGAATTCACTCCATTTTCACCTGTACTTCTCAGAATCTCTGCTTTCCTTCAATTTGCAGTGCCACTTTCTGCATGAGGCCTTTCCTGATCCAACCAGCTGTTAGTGTATGTCCTACCTCCCCCCCCAAAAAAACCACCTTGTATTCATTTTGTATATATTATTTATACGTTTAAAACTGTGTGTATCCTCTCCATTAGAATATAAACTCCTTGAGGACAGGAATTGTTTCACTTCTGTCTTTTTGTATCCCCAGCACTTAGCATAGTTCCTGACACATAATAGGGGCTTAATGAACACTTGATTAATTGATTGATTGATTGATTGATTGATTGATTTTGGTCCTTTTTGAGGATCTTAGGGAGATGAGGTTCCTTGAAACTTTGAGCCTGCAGCCAGTAGTCAGAATCTGTCATGGGCCTCATATTAGAAACCTTCCAAGCTTTGTGGAATTCTGTTGTTCCCCATCCCAAGGCACCTCCATGTCACACAGAGGCCCCAGAATGGGACTTTTGTAGAAGCCACCTTGCACTTGATGACTAAATTCATCTTCTAAAATATTGTTTCCTCCCCCTAGTTTCCCCCCAGATGCCTCTTTGTGGTAGGCAAATGACCTCAAGTTCTCAAAGTCTTTGGCAATGGAACTCATTTAATGCTTCTAATACTTTGTAATCCTTCAGAGTTGGAATGGCTTCAAGGATAGGCCTGGTGACAAACTCAACATCTGCCGTATGAGGAACCATTTCACCAACTACTGAGAGGCCTGTTGCCAGATTATTAGCCACCATTTGATGAATAGTTTTGACCATAGAACCAATGCAATTTATGAACATTCACCTACTAAGATATGGAAGGGGTTGTTGTGTGTGTCTGTGGAGATAGCATGCACTCCAGTGAAGTATTCAAGTAAAATACTGCTTTCATGTAGTCAATCGCTGAAAAATTTTAAATGATTTCTTATTCTGTTACATTAAGTCCAAACTCCTCTGCTCGGCTTTCAGTATCCTCCACTATCTGATTCCAGCTTACCTTTTCAGTTTTATTTTCCTGTACTTTGAAACATGAACCCTACATCCTAACCAGACCAGTCTTATTAGAATTAGTCCTGCCTCATGCTTTTTCATGAAAGAACCACCCTTTTCCTTGGAATCTATTTTTCTGTACTCATCCAAGTCTTACTCATTCATCATGGCCAAGCTCAAGTCCAGCCTTCCTCTCACTTTTCAGAACTTATACAGCTCTACAATCTACACTGTGCAGCCTAGCATGACAGTACCATTTGATATTTAATTACACACCATCTTTTATTGTTCTTTTATTATTTCATGTGCTGCCCAGTTAGGCCATAACCTTTATAAGGACAGTGCTATAGAAGTACTGCATTTTAGTGGCTTTCTAATCCAAATAGCTCATTAAATTACTCAATCCCCATCCCCATAAGATCTTCACCAACCCAATCTTTAGTGCTACATAGAAAACGAATCGAAACTTAATCCTTAATACTTTTTTAAAAACTATTCTGAATTTAAACAGTAAAAAAAAAAGCATTTCAATATGCATAGCAGAACACATTATATGAAACCATGTCTTTATTTCATACCACTTCCTTCTTTAAAAAATATGTAATAAATTCTACTCCTTACTTTCAGAACTACCCTGCTTACCCATTCTTTCTTCTGACCTTCCATTTCTTCTCATCTGTACATTTTAAAAGTGTTTCAATAGCCCCCACCCCTTTTTTGGCACTAGTATTGCTAATCCCCCTGTCCTCCTGAACATAAATTTAAAAGAGGGAAAAAAGCCTTTTAACAAATAAGCATGGTCAAGCAAAACAAAGCTACATGGAAGCACTTCTGAAAAATGTTCCTTTCTTTCAGCATTTCAAGAGTTCCCCCCTCTGTCAGGAGGTGCAGAACCCTCATTATCAGAGGTCCTCTGGAGACATGGTTGGTCATTGCCTGACCAGAGTTTTTAAGTTTTTTCTTTTCTGTTGTTGTTGTATAAATTGTTCTCCTTGTTCTACTTACTTTACTTGCATCAATTCATACTTTTCAGGATTCTCTGAAATCATCTCCATTATTTATAGAAGCATTTTTAAACAAAAACAGTGGGCCTGTATCTTCTGAGTTTCCTTGAAAATATCTTGGGCTATGTGCTAGTTCACGCAAATATGCTTTTCCTTTGCAGGGGGCTGGAGACAGTTTTGTGGGAGCATTGGCCTTCTACCTGGCTTATTATCCTAACCTGCCCATGGAAGAAATGATCAAGAGAGCCAACTTGGTTGCATCAGTCAGCGTCCAATCCTCAGGAACCCAGACTTCTTTCCCTTACAAAAAGGACCTGCCACTTAATCTGTTTTGATAAAGATTCCGAGGCTCATATAATTGCAATTAGTGTGTACAAGGCAGAGAATTCAGCTACCTTGTACACTTTGACAATGTGCTGTCCTTTACATGCAAAGGATGTTCACCCACCATCCACAGGGTACCTGCTTTTTGTTGTTTATACAGTAATGATGACTGATTCCTTAGACACATTTGCAAAGCAGCTGGCCAGGATTAGGCGTACAGCCTGAGGCTAGGCTGAGATTTTGCAGGGATCTGCAATTTCATCACTATTTGAAAAACAATTCGAAGACACATCCTAATGATAGTGAGTCAGTAGCATCAAACATATCCTATACTGCCTTGCACATAGCCAGCATTCAATAAATGTTCAGTGAATGAATGGAATGAATGAACGAATAAGTGAACAATTGTGTGAGTTTCCTAAATAAGTCTAAAAACAGTGGGTCCCCATGCATATACATTCCATACTGGCTCAGCAGGGGACAGTGAATGAACAAGCTAATTGTTTGGCCCACAGCTTAATCATATATCCTTACAGCTATTTATCAAAGTAATGCCTTGAAATAGGCAACTCCTCTTCCGAAGCTTCAGCACTATTTGAACCTCTGTGAGAAATAAAAATCTAGGATGGGACTCCAGGAAATGACCACTGCACAGGAAATAACTCTATTCTGAAGCTGAAGTGCAGATTTTAACTATCCCGCAGGCTAGCCTATAGCCATGGAAGGACCAGTATTTCTGTAATGGCATTGACCTCCTAGGGGTTTACAACCATGGTGTCATTTCTTCTCTCACCATTGCTAGTAATGAGATTCTCAGTCTGAGATGGAAACCAAGATAGTTCTCAGAGAGGGAGCTGTTCCCTTTTGGTTCCCCACTGGAGATTTCCTTATAGCCAGACATTCGGGAAAAGCCAATTTGTAAGAAATGGGTGGGAGAATGGCAGCTGCTTCTTTGAAAAGGCCAGGATTCCTCAACCAGGAGATAAGAATCTACAGATAGGACCCTAAGCCTCATCTGACACATACTCAACAAGAAACAGGGTCAGAGTATTAAGGGCTGAAATGGACTTCAGTGATTTACCAATCTAACTGCCTCATTTTACAGAGGCAAAGGGAATTGTCCAAAGTCACAAAGATGTAGGTGACACTCAGTCTTGAAGTCACATCTTCTTGTCTTTTAAGCCCAGTGCTTTCATTACACTGTGATAGCATATAGTTCTAGTGCTGCCAACTATCCAGCTGTGTGACCACAGGCAACTTTCCTATCATCTCTGGGCGTATTTCATCTAGATGAAGAATTTTGACTAAATATGAAAGGTTTCTTTCAGTTCTAAAATTCTACAATGCTAAGCTAGTTGCTGCAACCATGTGAAGGCACTACACCTTCCTCCTCCTACGATGTAATCACAAAGCTTCTGCAAAATAAAAAATCGCTCTTCCTTACAAGGTTGAGATTCTCAAAGGTAAAAGTATAAGTAACACTATCTACCTACACTAAAAAATAATAGGCTTTAGGTGATCTGGGCTTAAGAAGATGGACAAACTGCAATTTTTTTCTAATTGCATAAGCACAAAGTAGGTTCTCCGAGGTTTCTTGATATTCTAAATACTCCATGTGTGAGTTCCCTACTTTGCCTTTCATTTCTGCCTCTACCTAGGCACTTATTGCATGATCAATCTGGAAGGTTAATTCTTGCTCTTCTCTGGGGTAAGAAGGAGGGCTAGAAACCCTTGCACCAGAAGTTCTGAGGAAAATTTTCATTTCTTATTATTATATGAAACAATGGTCATTTTTTAAAAATCAACTATTGTGTTAAAAAAAATCAGTGGAAAAAAAATCACTAAGAGACAATGGTACTTGCTATTTTAATTTTTTTTATTGAAGGCTGTAAAAATAACCAGAAAGATAAATAAATGTTGATGCAATGATCTATGTCCTAAAGCAAAGAATTTTCTTTCGATGCATTGTTTTCCTTCACAATGGCATTCAAATCACAGGAGGCGGTGATTCCAAGCCATTTCCTTTCCTTTGGGTGCACATTGCAGGATTTCTGAATCAGTGTTTCCCCCCCCAAGAGTCTTCCTCATTTATAAATCAATTCATTTTCAATCCATTGTTTAAATGGAGCGCACTTTTTTCTTCTCCACAAAGAGGACCCGTTTGTTCACTGCAAAGAAGCAGATTTTAATGGAAAACTTAACTTAAAATCTGAAGAATTTACAGATTCGATTACACTTGTCATCCAAAAACACTTATTTGAAATGAGCTTTCTCCATGTTCTACCTTTATTCTTCAATACATTCTTTCTCTTTTTACTTTTTTAGAAAGATCCTTTTTTTAGAAGGATGTTTTTACTGTTTTAGAAAGATCCATTCAACATTAACATGCAGTTTAGTTAGCTGAGCTGGCAGCAAATGAAAGGTCAAGGAACACTGGCCAAAAGACCAGAGGGCAAATTCACAGCCACCAGCTGATCACTGAAGTCCTCGGGAGCTGGCCAGCATGAGCCACCTTGGTGTACCAAATGAAAGAAAATTAAAGAGAAGACTGGAAATAAGTCTTGGGCTCCAGCAAATCACTGAATCATTCTTGTGGGAGGTGAGCAAGGTTAGGCCTACTTAGGAGTTACAGTGTGTGATGGTTCACCGGAAAGGACACCTGGAGCCATCAGCAGACAAGGCAAACACAAGCCTCCTTGAGGAAAAGGGTTTTTGTTTTCCTCTAGGCATTCTTATGAGCATATGACTTAAAGTAACACTGGACTAAATGACATTTAAATGAATGACAGGCATGAAAAGTTTGATTTCCTACATCTCATGCCAAAATTAAATCACCACCTCCATCCCATCCCCATGACCTTAACTGGTCATATTGTTATTTCTTCACATGTGACTTGACCCCTACTCCCTTATCAGAATCTTCTACATTCAGAAAAGCAGACAGGCAGAAGGACATGGGTATGAAAGGATTTAGATGACCAATCTATACCCTACAGACAAACTTCAAAGTTGTTTTATGTACTTCCAGAAATTATAATAAGCCCTGGAAAAGCCTACACCTTCCATGAAGCAACTTCTCTCATTTTTACCAACTGGGTCGTAATGCAGAAGGACCAGTTTCTCTCGTAACCGGTTTCTCTTGGTGTTGAAGGTGTAACCTGTCCCTGCTTGGCTCACCATTTTCACAAGGAGGGTCCTAAAATTACAGAGGAATTTATCAACAAATGAGGAAAAGAACTACAAAGTCATTGAGCAATGGCATATATTGAGAGCACACAGTACAACTGTAAAGGAATTGGACTATTAGACACTATTTTATTTGTACCCTTTAGGTGGAAGATTTTTAGTTCTAAGAGGTCCTGCATTTTCAAAAGATATACAGGGGAGCCAAGTTTCTTATTTCCTGAGCTCTATAATATGTATGGTAACCTAATAATTCCATCTAGGAGATTAACAAAGTAATCTCAGCAGAACCTGTAGGCTAATTCAGGAAACTAAGGGTATCAGTCTAAGAAAAGATATCCTTGCCACCATTTAAGGCCAGGCTAGATATCAGGATACAAAGGCTATGAAATAGGAATTCCTCAAAATAATTTGGTCTTAACCTTTGAATCACTACAGTCAATGGCCTACGCATAAGCATAGTTATGAACTATTACAAGTACATGCACCCATCTGCTCTTTGGTGTTTATGTCAGGCAAGATTTTAATAGCTACTTCATATTTGGTCTAAGGTGTGTTTTATATATCCATAGCAAAAGACTGCCAAGATTTGTGAAGTATACCACTGATTTGGCCCTTAACTCGTCATATTGTTATTTTTTCACATGTGACTGGACCTCTGGATTTTATGACTCTCAAAGGCAAGGACTCTTATGTAACGTTGTATTCCTAACAGTACCTTGAGAGTAAGTGTTTGAAAAACATGTGGCTGAAGTATGCAATAATAATAACAACTAACTTTTTTTTGCCTTTCTTTGTATCCCCAGCGCTAACCTAGTAGGTGCTTAATAAATCCTTGTTGACTTGGGCATCAATTATGATCACATCATGCAAGGTGGATATGTATTTATATAAGTCATAGCCCCTCAAAAAACTTATGACAGAGGGGCAATGACAAACACCCCACTAACTAATACAAAACAAAACATGATCAATTCCATTAATAGAGACAATTGATGAGATAAGCAGTACCCAGTATCCAGAAAAGCACAGAGGAAGCCATTTCGCTGTAAAATCACAAAAAAACCCCCACTAAATTCTTAAATTTTAAATTTTAAATAAGCAAATAGCTCATTTCCATAATACATCTTTTTGCACTTTTATAGATTATCCTGTATTATAGCTTATTGTCTTCTTTCCCCTATCAGACTCAGCTGTGAGGTGAGGGGCTGTCTTCTTTGTTAATTGTCCCCACAGCACATACACTAAAGTGTTACAAAATAGTAAAACTTATTCATTTACTTCAACAAAGGAAACCTAGTTTTTACTAGTTTTACTTTTTTAACAAACTGCAGGCAAATGTCCTTTCTAAAGGTCAGACTTTTTTCAGTAGAAGAGACCTTACTCTAGTCATCTGCTATGAGACCTTTTTTGAAATGATGTAACAGCCCAATAGTGGGCTACTACTATTTACAATTAACAAATTACTATTTGCAGACTTTGATATTTTTGAAGTGATAATAATCCAATCCAGAAAATGAAACTGATATGACTTGAAACAGGCCCTGTGGCCTCATCAGTGTTATATCTGTAACCACTAGCATCCCTGAACAAACCTCAGACATATGCCCTATTTTGAGGAACGATGGTAGGGCCCTTAATGTGAGGTGAAAGGAGAAAAAAGGTAATGATTTAAGGTAGAAGATATTGAGTTCAAGTTAGGTAGAACACACACACACACACACTCCCATCCCCTCCATGAGATGTCCACTGAACAACTGGACAGGTGGGAAAAGGATTTGGTTATCAAATCTCTAACACAAAAAAAAGATTTAATTAAAAGATGGCTCACCTAGTTATTCTAAACTACACAGGAAGCTAATAAACTTTAAAAGAAGGGAAAGCTAATACTCTTAGGCATCTACCTTAAGGCGGTAAGAAAATGGAAAGGTCCCACATACAAGAAAATATCCATATCCACCTTTCCTATGGTAGCAAAGAAATGTAAACACAATAGATGCTTATCAATTGAGGAATGACTAAACAAACTGTGGCATATAAATATAATGAAATATTACTGTGCTATGAGAAACTGGATTTGGAATCAGAAAAACCTGAGTTCAAATTCTATCTCAGATACTTGCTAGCTGTGTGACCCCAGGGCAAGTGACTTTGCCTCTCTTTGCCTCAGTATCCTCATCTGTAAAATAAGGTTTCTGAACTCAATGACTTCTAATGCCCTTTGCAGTTCTTGATCTATGCTCCCATAAAAACTACATGAAGAATTCAGAGAAGCATGTAAAGACATAAACTGATGCAGAGTGAGTGAAGAAAATCCAGGAAAACAGTGTACATAATAGCTATAACAATGTAAATGGAAAGAACAAAAAAAAGAAACAATACTATGTAATTATAATGACCAAATTAGGCCCCAAAGAAGAGTTATGAAAATGCACCTTCCCTCCCTGTTTGCAAAGGTGGGGGGCCATGGGTATAGAAATATTACTTATAATGTCAGACAAAATTAATGTATTTTTTTCTCAAAACTTTGTTTTCCTCTTTTTTTAATCTTGTTACAAAGGACGACTTACTGGATACCAGAAGGGAAAGAGACATTGGGAAATGAAGATGATATAAAATGATCAATAAAATAAGGTTTTTTTTAACATTATAAAACAAAGGAAACTTACTTACTTTGACTTGCTCTTGGCAACTTTTGGTAGCAAAGCAAGGGTGGGAAGAAAAGAAAAAATATACTAATTAATTAAGCCAATTACCCACAGTTTTCCATTATAATTTTACAGGACCCAACTACCACTACCCACGAAATTAACACATATGGGAAGATAGCCGCATCAATATTTATCTTATCAGGAAAAACAGTGAAGACACCAAGTTCCCCTCAATACAGTTAAGACTTTTGTAGGAGGCCTGCAAATTTCAAATCCATTAATAATTATTAACAGCCCATCCAGGCAAGTCACAAAACTTGGGTTTGGAACGTTTCCTATGATTTTTGAAAAGACTTTGGACTTGATTTTCTCCGATAGTGACTTTTACAACGTCCACTCTAAGACCAGGTGACACGCCAGGTCCAGGCCACATCCCTTCGCGCATACCATTTACACACATTACCAAGTTTTACAAATTTGTCTTGACTTTTCCCATTTGGGGGAGGGGGGTATATAATTAACAACTTCGACCCCCGAAACACTAAAGCTGAAAACTTCCACACTTTAAAGAACAATCACAGTTGTTTTGGGGAGAAGCCTGGGTAGGTGGGGAGAGAGTGCGCAGACGCGCCGCGCGGGGCCTCCTGGGCATTGTAGTGCCGAGAGCTTGCAAATCAGAGGCCTGCCGAGCGACCACTAGTCCCAGCATTCCGCCATCCCTGCGCTAGCACTAGTGGCCGGCCACTCCCTCAGCAGTCGCAGCCGCTGCCCTCGGCCCCACTTACAGCAAACAGCGGAGAGTAGCATGGCGACGGAGATTAGGGCTGCGTCCACAGCTCGCTAAAAGGCGAGCTGCATGGAGCCCTTCCGGCTACGTTGCAAGCAACAGCTTCCGGGGCACTGCTCTGCTACGCAAACAACTTCCGGGGCGCAGCTGGAGCCCCGCCTGCTCCTGGTTCATTTCGACCTCAGGTCACTTTCTAACACCTAT